GTGGGTTTCGCTTTGAAAAAGTGAGTTTTTGCTTTGAAAAAAGCGAGTTTTGCTCTAACAAAGTGATTTTGGCTGGGTTACCTGAATTCTCCAGATCTTTATAGGCTTCAGTCCAGGTCTTGGCCATGTTTGCCAGGGTGTACTCCATGATCTGGATGTCGGTGATGGGGCAGTTGCACTGCGGGAACTCCTCGGAGCACTGGCAGCCGCACTGGCTGTCCCGGCAGATGTACTCGCCCTCGCCGTTGCACATGATGTAACTCAAGGCAGACTGGACAAACTTCTCCTGTAAATACTGAGGGAAGATGATCTGGAGACCTGGAGAGGAAAAAAAGAGGGATACGGGAAAAAAAATTAATACAAAAGTCATTTCAGGTGTTTGCTCCTCTTTTCAAAACCTGTCTATTTAAGAGTTTAGGAAAGTTACAATGAAGAATTAAAGCTTTCATGAATAAGAAAGGTACAAATTGCATCCCTCCAGYGCAAGTAGTGATTTAGCTGAGAGCAGAGCCCATCTCCTTTGTGGGAGAACAGTGMCAAGCAACTTCCCCATCCCCAACACCCCTTGATCCCATTCCCAGATCCCAGCACGGTACGAAGCCCCTGAATGCAAAGCCTCTCTTATTCCCAGGTGTGGGGTTTTTTGTCCCCTGAAACCAAGGGCTGGTTCAGAAGCAACGAGCATTGTGCTGCTCTGAACCATTTTGAGAGACTAAATGGGTTTGGTGCCACAGGAACAAGGAAAATACACACTGAAGGGGAAAAGAAGAAAGAATGGAACACAGAARAAAGGAAAATAACACAGGAAGGGATTTCTAAAAGATCCTTGCAGAGTTAAGTGCCCACTCCCACAGCATAAACAGARGAGTTGGGCACCTGAGCCTTCACAGCTCGCTCCCTGCTAGGARGGCTGCCTGCCAAATCCTATAAAAGTGCAAATGGGTTTGGTGCCCATGGTTCAGTGTGCACAGCAGAGTTACAGGAGCTGGAGCTGTCTCCCCTCGCCCCTCTCTCCATGGCCGGTGTTTGTGGCTCCATCCATCGGTGTGAGCGCACCCTCGCTCGGGTACCAGCACTCATGGACAGTGTAAGGGTTTGCCCCTTGTACACTGCTCATGGCTCTCCATCCCATCCTCCTCCTCCTCCTMCTCCCTGAGGATTCCCAGCTGTTTGCTGATACCTGGCCAGCCCTTGCTGTCAGCCCCTGTCAGTGTCTGCAGTGCACAAGGCAGGGCACGGTGACTCAGAGCCAACCGTGCCCAGGAGCCCACCCAGAACAGCCCAGGGATCCTGGAGGGGCAGGGAAAGGGGTTTATGGGGCGAGCAGGTGCCTGAACTGCGCTGCAGTGATGGGTCAATTACCCATCTGTTTGTGTTTCTGCTGCGCTGAATTACYGGAGCCGGGGCTGACAGCTCGCTGGGGCGGAATGGAAATCAGACAATAATTCAGAGCATGAGAGTGTGCAGGAATGGCAAAAAGGGCTGTGACCCCTCTCAGGAGTGCAGGCCCATCTCTGATGGGTCCTGTTCACCTCAGACAAGAGAAAAACAGCGGGTGGTGACCCTGGGACCTTCATTACCCTTTTGCTTTGGGATCCAGAGAGTCAGTGCAGCCTTTGTGAGGTGACTCTGGAAGAGCAGGTGTGGGGGCTCAGGAGGTTCAGGGAGCCCTGTGTCCTGTCCCCCTGCTCTGGGTGAGCACTGTGCCCAGTGAGCTGCCCCTCTCTGACCCCACTGGCAGCCTCCAGGCAGGATGAGCACCCCTCAGCTGGGAATATCCCTCACACAGGGAAGAATTTCAAGCCTGGCATTCGGAGGCTCCGTGCCTGCAGAGATCCTGCTGCCTTTTCAGCATTCCTTTGGGGACAGGAAGGAATACACAGAGCTGGCCGGGCTGCAGCATCCCTGCAAACATCCCAAAACTGGCCCGAGGAGGATCAGCAATTTCAAATCCCTTTGGTCTTTTCTGAGATGTGTCTCAACAAGAAGCTCAAATTTTTTCCTGCTGTCTTCAGGACTTCCTTTTAGGCTCTTTTAGGGATTGTAGTGACAGGGCAAGGTGGAATGGATTTAAACTGACAGAGAGTAGGTTTAGACTTGACATTAGGAAGGAATTGTTCCCTGAGAGGGTGGTGAGGCCCTGGCACAGGGTGCCCAGAGAAGCTGTGGCTGCCCCTGGATCCCTGGCAGTGCCCAAGGCCAGGCTGGACATTGGGGCTGGGAGCAGCCTGGGACAGTGGGAGGTGTCCTTGTCCATGGCAGGGGGTAGAACTGGGATGGGCTTTAAGGTCCCTTCCAACCCAAACCATGCTGGGATTCTGTGATTTATCTGAAGTGACCACCAGGGAGTGATGGTCAAACCTTCACACCGACATTAGGGTCAGTCCCACCTGCCAGGATCCAAAACTTTCCTTCAGGATGGAATGAAAGAGCAGCGCTGGTGRAGAACTGATGCACAAAGGGACTGGAGAGCCCGAGGGCAGCTGCACTCACTGAGCTTTCAAGCCCACATGAGAGCAGAGCCGGACTCCTCGATGTGCACTGACTCCTCATTCATGGTCCAAGTCCCATGAATGCATTTTCCACTCTGCTTCATGGAGGAGCAACCTGCTCTGGCTCTTTGAATATGATCAGATGACCTCAGGCTCTTCAGCTCTCCATAGCTTCCCTTTGAATTTTAACTTGGAAAAAGCACAAGCTGKTTGGTCCCAGCTACAAATGAGAGATTTGGAGCTTTGGAGATTTTGATTTTAATTTTTTCCTGGAAGGACTAGAGGTGAAAAAAGCAACTCAGTTTTCAGGGAAAGGATTTTTCATAGCAAGGGACATCCACTGTGCATGCCAGCAGATGCAGAGACATGAATATCCTGTAATCCCCAAAACACTGCAGTGCTTCACATGGATATTCGCTTTTTGCCCATAAAACTCATGGTTTCTGAGAAAAAAAAATTGTATTTTCAAGATAACCTCCTCTTGTAAAAAATAATATCATGTTTGAGGAGCAATCAGACCCCGAAACACTTTGCACCAACTCAACAAAGCACTTCTATAAACACTTCACCAGGAAAGCAGTTTTGCTGGAATCCATCATTACCTGMAGCATTTGACCAGAAGCACACGCTCAGAGCTGGGTTTGCACAATTTTGCACACTCCAAACACACCCCCCTGCCTTGCAAACATGCTGYAGGGTTTACACACCTTCCAGCCAGGAATTTCCTCGTGGAAGAAMCCAGAATCACTGAAATACAGCTGTGCCAGCTTTCACAGAAATACTTTTATACACATACACATAAATATCCACGGGTTCCTCATCATCCCCAGACAAGGGCAGGTCCATATCCATATTTTTGGTTGTGTTTTGAGCAATCCTGTGATCAGATCTCAGCAAGAGATTTTACAAGCACTGTGCCAGCAGCATCTCACCGAGTCCTGGCATCCTCCCTCTCCATGAGTAGTTTTATCCCATTCCAAGGAATAAATATTGCTGGAATTCAGTGGATTAGGGTCAGTAAAGCACAGGTGACTCTGGGTGTTTCAGTGGCTGCCTGTAAAGCAGGAAAGCTGTAATCCAAAGGAATATCACAGCCCCACAGAACAGTTTGTGCTAGCTGGGAAAGCCCTGCTGCCAGCCACAATCCTGATAAAATATCCCAAATGCTGTTTTGTTCTCTAAGAAATTTATTGGGATATTGCAAACATTTTAAAAAATTATATATATATATATTCAATCTTTCACTGTTGTCTACTGATGAAGCAACCTCAAGTCAGCAGCCAAGAAAGGGGCAAGTTGGTCTTAAAAATTGAGATATTGGAGCATTTCCATGGGGAGAATCCCTCAGTCCAAGCCAGAGGGCACAAGGAATGGGCTCATCCCCAGCAGCAGCCTCAGGACCTGGTAACAGATGCCCAAGGTAAGTTTGCTGCTGACTTGAATATCTTATTTCTGAAGGTAACTTATTGATCAGAGGAGAAATTCTACCACTTTCTAAAGCATAAATCTCCTTTTTTTAAAAAATGAAGAGCAGCACAGATTTGGTATAGGTTTATTTTAGATAACTACAGGCAGAATATGAAGTGTCTGACAAGCGAACATGTCCTTAATTCACCTAGAAAAAACTATTAGAGAGAGATGTTTGCCTTTAGACTGTATATAAAAGGCTTCCTGCATTAAAAGAGGTAAATTTCCCCMGCTCAAAATTAGAGCTATTTGAAACATTTTCCACAGAAGAGTTCTCTGTTGAAAATGCAGTTTCATTGAAGCATTTTGTGAGAGCATGTTGACTCCAAAAGCACTTTTGACTTTCTAAATGTATTTTTTTTCCTACTCCCTCATTTCACTGCACTGAAAAGCTGAAATGTGTTTTGTGTTGTCATTACTGTTCTGCCCATTTTGGTCATTACTGTTCTGCCCATCTTGGAAAAAGGTTTAATAGTAATTGTAATGTAAATTCTAATGTTCTATTATCAGATATATTATGTAGGTATATAATGTATCTCCCTATGTAGTTATGTATAATATATAAGTCAATATAATATATAAGTTAATAATACCAATACAAGGGTATTTATACATATATGACAATATAATATTAAATAYAGTAATATGATATATTTAATATTTTACAAGTATTGTATATAACATTATGTGTTATGTATGGTATTRTAATATATGACCATATTTGATGTAACAAACTGCCTGACATGCAACATTTCCTGTTTAATGTTGCAGTGTTTAGARCAGCACAGGAGGATTTTACCTCACTGAAATAGCGCTCTGCTCCAATATTGAAACACACCGTCAATAACAGTACTGATACAACAGGACATGTCTCTGAAATTCGGATTTCCTGAAATTTTTTGAAGTATTGCTATTTTTCAGTCAAATTTTCCAATTTCAGCCCAGGATGCTTTGTCCAGGRAACAAAAATTCCCATTTATCACCACGCTGCTGTAGAGCTGCTRGCATCCTGCCCTGCATCACCACAGGGATCCTGCTCCAGGGAGWGCTGGGGAAAAGGGAGACCTTCTGTGCCCTGTGATAAATATTGTATATATATATATTTATATTTCTATATATACACCCCAGTGCACGCCATGCATGCTGAGCCCACAAGGATACTGGTTCTTAAATTAGTGGATACTGGTTCTTAAATTAGTGGATACTGGTTTTTAAATTAGTGATTCTTTTCTGTCCCAGGAACCATAAGAGCAGCACCCTGTGCCGTCCTGCCCTGAAATCTCCAGGCTGGAGAACCTGCCCAAACCCATGGAATCATTTAGGTTGGAAAAGACCACCAAGATCACCAAGCCCAGCCTCTGATCCCCACCTTGTCACCCAGAGCAGGGCACTCAGCACCCATTCCAGCCATTGTCACTCCTGAAGGGCACAGCTTTGAAACCCCAGCTCTCAGGGCTGGGAGGCAGCAAGTTCAGGATGAGAAATTCTCCCTGGCACAAAGAAGCTGCTCTTTTATTGAGCTGGGCTCGGAGCTGGAGTGACATGAAGGCAGGAACATGGATTTCTGTCAGCAGCTCATGCTCGGCTGCTAATCAGATCAGAGGAGACTTGGTCACGATCCATTACCTGCTGCAGCCCTGTGACTAATTCCTAATGAGCCTCTCAGAGCAGAGGAAGGATCCTGGGTAATTATCCCAAGAACCGCTCTCCAGATTAGGCAGGAAACTCAGGTGGAGCTTTAAAGGTCACTTTGCTCTCTCAGGAAGAGCTCCTGTCTTCCTCCCTTCCCTCGCTGCCTCCTTGGCGTGGCTTTTTCTGGGTTTTTCCACGTCTGGTTGACCCCCATCAGAAATCACAGCTTCATCCATTTTAAATCCCCTCTCTCTCCTAACTTTTCTCTCTTCCTCCACCTCATTTTCCCCTCCCTTGGTTTATCTCCTCCCTTGTAARATCAGAAAACCAATCGAGGTCTATTGATTTACTCACTTGCCTGCCCATAACCCAAGCTGCCTTCTGATTTAGCTGCTTCCCCACTTATCTCATGTGTCATTCTCTGGTTTTCATTACCAGCAGCCATTATCACAGTGTGGAAAAAAAAAAAAATATCCTCAAACTGCTCATTGTTAATTAGGTAAAAACCAGAACTCAGTGATTTGGATAATCACTGGCATAGTGAAAACAACCTGGCTATTATTTTTAAAGGCAAATAATAACAACAATAATATTATATCCACAACATTACTTGGTAAATGAAACCCAGTTTCTGTGAAACCAAAGATTAAAACAGCACTTGCCAAATTATACTCAAAGCGGAAGATGTAATGTAGCCCATTCATCTGAAAAATTAAAATTTGTGCAAGTACAAGGATTCCTGAAATAAAACCATCTGGGCAAATGAGCAATTAAATCCCACATTTCCTTTTTTTGTCGAAAACTTGGGAATAACCTTCGTAAATTACATGCCCAGTGAATTTCCTCCTTCTACYGAAGTTGACTTCTTGCTAACCAGCATGTATTTATTTATTAATTCAGCCATGACCTCTATCTGTTGACTTCTGGACTAGCTCCCCAGCTGGGACTGAAGCCATGGCTTCTAGCATCCAAATAAAACCTCTGTGACTTTTCCCAAAGATTACGGTCATTAGAGAGTCCTGAAAGCTGATCTGCAAACCTCTTACACAAATCAGCAATTCGGGAGGGACGGGGAGACGTGGGCAGAATTCTCCTTTGGTGTTGATGGAAGAGGTCACATTTGTTTTTTGTGTTGSTGTGTGTATCATACGCAGAATTCCATCAAAATTCAGTGGCAAAGGGCACCCAGACACTGCCCTGGGGTCAGCCCTGGCTCAGCTCAGCTGAGCATCGTGTGAAGCCACCAGAAGCTTCAAGGAACTCTCAGCCAAGGCAGAATCACAGYAAAAAGAGGGCGAAAGGCTCAGAAAAAGGGCACCCCTCCCTCGTTTCCACCTCACTCCCCAGTTCCTGGGCCCTACCTTGCAGGTGGAGTTTGCTCTCAGTGCTTTGCAGAAGGACAGAACTCACAGAGTCCAGATTGTCGTAGCTGTTACAGCCCAGGGGGCCGGTCCGAGTTTCTGTTACCTGCAGAGGATGTCAAAAAGAGAGAGTGTTCCCTTTGCAGCACCATGCCTTCCCCAGGCTTTTTTAATTTTTTAATTCAAGGACTCCTTATCACCCCAAACACATCTTCCCTAATTGGGAAAAWAATGCCCCACCCTGCACAGACACAGCTAATGTTTGGTGCAGCTGAAAAATCAGAATGAATTGTGCCTGCTTTCGTTAGGGTACTGCAGGCTATTCTGGGCTTGGCAATGGATCCTGCAGATTGATGTTTCTCATAGAGGAACTCCACTGGAGAACATCAGAAGCCTGTAGAGGAATTATTCCCTGGCTTCTCTCGTTGGAAGGCGAGGAACRGAGATGGATTGCCAGCCCAGAGCGGTGCCTGGTGCTCCCACAGCAGATGTGAGCAGCAGCCCTGTGCTGAGGATGGATGGAGGCACAGATGACCTGCAGAGCTGCTGCTGCTGCTGCTGGTTTCCAGCCATGGAGGAGAGCTGCCCTTCCGGAATTCAGCACGGGTGATTATCTGCTGTCACTGTTTCAATATCTCAATACAATTTCCCATCCAGAAGGGAGCAGGCTCAGCCATGAGACAGCACAGAACAATAACGAGAGCTGAAACCTTTCAGAAATGGCTAACAATGACGACTCCATCCACATCACCTTCCCTGGAGTGAGCTCAGCAACAATAAAATCCCTGCCCAGTGGAGGATGATTGCTCTCAGAGAAGGCAGCCTTTGTCTGCAGAGCCATTTTCCCTGTTTTGTATTCTCTGAGCAGCTTCCCTTCCTTCCTGCTGCAGCCCCCAAGCTGTCTCTCAGCCCGCTTCATTCCAGATGCCTCAGTAACACCACACTGAGTTTTTCACCTTTTCTTGTAGCAAATTCAGCTGAGAGATGTTTTGCAGCCTTACAGCCACAGGAGACAAGCACTCCTGGGTGGCACGGGGCTGTTCATTTCACAGCCCTGCCTTTCCCTTCCAACCTCCATCACTGGTCTGGGTCCTCTGCTCCCTCTCTGCCTTCCAAAAGTCACTGTCACCATTTGTGGACGTCTCCTATCCTACATCCACCAGATATTAGTGGCCCTGGGGAAATCAATTCTTCAATTTAAGAGAAAAACTAACCCTGGGAACAAAACAACTTGCGATCAAAGAACACATCACACCAGCAAAGCCCTGTCTCAAATCCCTCCAGAATCCATGTTGCCACACAATCCTTTTCCTCTTCCCAARGCAAGATGTGGTACCTTGATCGCTCCGGTAGAGATCTGGATCTCATGGAGTCTCCTCATGGTGCCATCACGGTCTACAAAGTAGGAGGAGGCGAGCTGGTGCAAAGCTTCAACGCTCTGGGTGGCGTTTCCTGACTTTCTGTCGAGGCGGCTTTTGTCCATGTACATGGTCAAGGCCTCCTCTCCTGCAGCAGAAAGAAAAGGAGATTTCAGGCTGCCAGGCTGGGCCATCTTAACAGGGGCAAATGGTGTCATCTGCTGCACYTAAAGAAAGAAAAGTCCGACACCTGAGGGAGGAACTCTTGGAGGAATCTGCCCTTGGTCACCAGCACCAGCACCCTGGGGGGATGCACAGGAGCCTCCTCCTCTACTCAGAGAGGCCAAGTAAAGCAGCTCCACTGAATCGAGGAAACAACATTTTGGGCATTTTTTAGCCAACAGAGCTTTGCCACAATGTCCAGAGAGGATTCAGCCCATGTTCCCCACCCCAGGAACAGTTCTCTCTGTGGGCAGTGCCTCCAGAATGACACACAACCTGATGGGGCAGATCCCACTCTCTGCAAGCCTCTGTCTGCCCTGGTTTACAGAAGGAATAAATTGAAAATATAACAGAATTGTGTGGCTGGGGACAGTGGACAAACAAATGTCAGCTGGGCTTCCTCAGCTTCCAGCRGCCTTGCAAAAGGGGAAGGGAAAGGGGCTGAGTGAAAAGAAGAAATCAGAGGAAAGAGCAAATGAGAAAGTTAATTTAAGCTAACCACCCTTATTTCCTCTCCCAGAGTCTCATTCAGGGAATTCAGGTGGAGAGTGAAAAATATTGTACAAAATAAGGGACAGGAGACGGTGATTTTGAACTGGCAACCACAGGGATTTTGGGAGTGAAACAGTTCAGAGCTGATAAACATCCAGAAACCTGAATGCAACAAAATGTATCTRAAAAGCAAGTGAAGCTGAGAAGGAATATTCACCTAAAAGTTTGATTTGTGTGGATGAGGCACATTAAAATCCAGTTCATTCTTAACAAAAGGCTGGCACTGTAGGAGATTTAAAAAGGTGGAATGCCTGCACGCTTAACACACAAAACTTGGATTTTTAATAAATGAAGAGAAGACACAGCTATGGCAGGAATGTGCCATTCCTACATAACTCTCTTCATGAGCAGAATGGTGCTTGTTCTGATTTGATAGATGAACCACTGATGAATACACTGCCTCTGGCAGTGATAGCATGGTCCAAAAAAACTGGTACCACCACTTGCAAGGCCAAAACATATTTTGCTCTTCATCGTTTTGCATATTTTTTTAAGAGAACAAGGACTTATTTTTCTTTAAAATTCTTATTAGCTGAAATTGCTTGATTCGYCCAAATTATTTCTTTTATTGCATACATGAAAAAAATAACCCAAAATCCCAGTAAGCTYTCTCCCTCGCTTTGCCTGGAAATTATCCAGCTTTTATCTGGAAGCCAAATGCCTGAAAACAAACCAAAAATATTCTGGCTGAAAATCAAAATATTTTTATTAGATTTCAGTTTTTCAAGCAATAGTTGTGTTGAGGATTCAGCCTTTGGCTTGGAGATGAAAAATGGACTTTTTTTTTTTTTGTGGAAAGAAGGTACTTTTCATCAAAAGAATTGATCAGTTGAAATCTTTTAATTGGCTTCCCAGGAGCTGAGTGGAGAAGTTTGGCATGTAAAACTTTAATATTCTGTTAAAAACAACAGACTAGCCTTTGACCACAATCAAAGCTGTGGTAGTAACAATATCATCGTTGTCGCCTCTCACAAAAACAAATTCCCTGGTGCACTTTAAGGTTTCATCTCTTGGTGGTTTTCAGGGGGATTTGAAGGAACTTTGTCCATTAATCAAGTTATTTGCTACTGAAGAGGCTGGATGGGAGTGAAAGTGTATTTTGAACCATAAGTTCTGCATCTCTSGTGTAACAGAAGCATTTAACTGCAAGGAGATGCAGCAGAGAGAAATGAGGCTTTGCCACCATTTTCTGAGGCTGTGGCAGGAGAAGGAAAACCTGGGATAATTCTCCCCTTGGCTGTGATTTACAACCATCAACTGTTCATCAATTCCACCAATAACTGGAAAAAAAAAAAAAAAAACCAAAAAAAACCCCAGCTTTTTTCTGGGGATATATATTAAAAGCCAAGGCACAAAAATCAGGAGTTTTTTTCATTCCAGACTTGCTCATTTTCACTAGAGGAGTGCTGAGGCTGGAGATGCCTTGGCCAGAAGAAGCCTGGGTGGAATCAAATCGGGTGTCAGATCTCCAGATCTCCCTGCACAACATGAACCAGGCAGTGAGAAACACAGCAGGGAAGAGAAAYCTGCACTCTGGGGCAGAGGGAATCAGTGACTTCCCCACAAAAGCTGTCGTTTTTTCCTCCCTGAGGAAGAAAAAGAGAAGTCCATGAGTTATGACGTTATTCCTGAAGGACCAGGACTGTCTCCAGGATTTTGGGGTGCTGAGCAGGGACTCWGCTGCTGGAAATCTCTTTGTGCAGCTGGAAAAGCTCAGCATCCCCATGGAGGGGGCACAAGGGAGAGCAGCTCTTGGATCAGSAGAGGTTAACAGACCTTTGCTGCATTATTAAGTCTTAATTTCTCCTTTATTAAGCGGATGACATGTTCAGAGTTGTTTTTCCTCAAAGGGCTTTCCCTGAAAATTGGCTCTGAGCTCTGAGTGCTCCATCCCAGAGCATGGACACCCTCAAAGTGACCCTTCACCGATGCACTGTCAGAACCAGACTGGAGCAGAGCTGGGTTTTACTGAGCTCTGGGGGCTTTGAGTGCTCTGGAAAGGACCAGAGCTGTCCTCCCATGGCCAGGTGTGAACATCACTGCTGTGTCCATGTGCTGCTGCATCTCCCACCCGCATTTCAATGCCAGTGAGTTTGTCACTGTCTGCCACCTCCTGAGCCACCAACGGCTGTCACCCAGGGCAGAAGGGCTTGCAGAAGGGAACACCAGATCCTGGCAGAGCTGCTGTGCCAGGACCAGTCTGCTTTTCTGTCCCAGAGCTCTTGTTTAGCCCACAGCCTGCAATCAGAGTGTGTCCTCCGTGCATAATGCATGCCCAGCTCCATCTACATTTTCCCTGGGAGTGCCATTGCCAAGATAAATCCTTCTTTTCTCCCCACCATTGCTCACCATGCTGGAGCATTTAGATCTCCCCTCTCCAACACCAGTTCTCATTACAAGTCCCTGCATATTTAAAGTTGTTGTGTTGTAAAATCAGGAGAAGAAACAAGCCCCCGTGAATAATTTACACCCTCGCCYGGGCAAAATTAAAAATATATTTTACCATCAAAGGTCTTTCTTATTTCGTATTTCCACAGATGTGAGTGGCAAGAAAAAGTGGAATGTCAATGGGAAAAAAGTAAACCCACAAAAAAAAAAAAAAACCTCACTTCACTTGGCTGTCTTGGCTCTGTAAAACATGGTCCTGAGAAGTGAATTCCTCAATAAAAAGCAGTTTATYTTAACCCAGAGCTCATTAAGGCCTGATGAAAGCAGTCACTTGCGCTCTTCAGCGGTTGGAAATCTCCTTTCTCTCACATTTCTTGCAGATGGAATGGACTTGTTTGGGTGCCTGGGCTGGAAGAGCAGCCCGAGAACCTTTGAAGGACATTGCCACACCYGAGGCCATTTGACTTCAGGGGAGCTGTGCCAATTCACCTCCCACCCAACTTGTGCATGAATCATAATGCACACATCTGATCTCATCCCAGGGTCTGCAGAATGCTCTGGGAACAGCCAGATGGCCAGAAATTCCTCAAAGTTCACCACAAACACAGCAATGTGGCAAGGCTGGAGGTGAAGTACATCAGAAGGAACAACAACAACAAATTCTGAAGTAAAATTGAGCTTTTGTTACTGCAGAACCCTTCTTACAGACAGCAGTTCTTGGAAGAAAAGCATTTAAATGAAAGAAAAGCACACCCCRAAGGGAGAAAAGAACAGAGAAAATAATGCAGAGGGGGAGAAAAGAACCAGGAGCAAATATCAATAGGAGCTGCTGATTTTCACCCCTCCAATGTAAAATGGCCACCACTCAAAATGTTCTTGCAGCCCCCCAGCAGTGCCTGCTCAGGAGTTGCTGGTCCTACAGAGCTCTCTCTGGTGTCACCCCTGACACATTCTGCACTCACAGACCTCTCTGCAGCCCCTGCACACACATTTGGGGTTTTACTGAGCTGCTGTTTTTCTGAAAGTCTGCTCTACGTTAATGCACTCAGCACAGGCCTTCTGGCCATCCCTTCCCCTCTGCTCGTGCTCCCTGCCCAACTCCTTGAACTCCCTTTCCCTGGAGCTCTTTAMAATTCCTCCAGCTCCAGCAAGAAAGGATGGTTTTGTTTTCATCCTGTAAAAAAAGAGGGATGAACACGTTCCTCATTGACGCTGAGGGCAGCGGAGCAGGGCTGGCAGGATGGTCCCCAGATGAGGGATGGGTTTCTCCTGACCCACACCACACAGAGAAAACAGGGGCTGAAATCCCCCCTCGTGCTCTGAACTCATTTGCAAAGGTTCTTCATGCTCTGGGTACACAGACAGGTGTTGGGAGGATGCACCATGGTCTCACAGTCATGGGAGGTTCAGATGGGAGGGGACCACAGTGGGATTTTTGGTCCAAGCTCCCTGCTCCAGCAGGGCCATCCCAGAGMACAGGGCACAGGATTGCATCCAGAGAGTTCTGGGATATCTGCACTGAGGGACATTCCTCTCTGGGCAATCTGTTCAGCGTGTGGTCACTGCACAGGGAAGAAGTTCTTCCTCATGTTCAGGTGGAGCTTCCTGGGCATTGCTTTCTGCCCATTCCTCCTGTCCTTGTGGTTGGTACCATGGACCAAAGCCTGGTTCATCCTCTTGGCACCCCCATTTAGATGTTTATCAATGAGGTCTCTTCTCGAGGCTGAGCAACCCCAGCTCTCTCAGTTTTTCCTCACAAAACGTGTTCCACTCCCCTCACCATCATCTGCTGCACTCCCTCCAGGAGCTCCAGGCCAAACTGGACACATTTCCAGCACTGCCCAGCRCCTTCACCACCCCACCACCACCAGCCCTGTGGGACAGCAGCCCCGGTAGCCACCTACCTCCCAGGGTGGCAGAGATGAGGATGTGGGTGCCGTACTTTTTGATGATGGTGTCGATGAACTGCTGCGTGGTGGGTCTCCTGCCCAGCAGGCGGATGCTCCTCTGGAACTCGGGCATCAGGGGCAGCGGGTTGTGGAGCAGGTCCCTCCTCTCGATGGCTGTGTTCCTCACCTTCCAACGGGCAAACTCCCTGTGCCACAACACAGCAACACAACAGGGGTCAGGCTCTCAGTCTGCAGGGGCAGGGAAGGAGGGTGGACATGGGGCTGGTCCTGCTGGACACCCCCACATGGATAACACGTGAGGCCACGGGGCTGGACAGAGGGGAAAGGGAGGACAAGAGGAAAAGTGAGACATTACTGCACAGTAACAATGCCCTGTGAGGGTTGGGTGGTGAGGAGGTGGATTTGGAGTCAGCAGAGGTGTCTGGCAGAGAGCTGGGCTCCCCTGAAACAAAAGCAGGCTGGTGCCTTCACCTTCCCACCCTTTGGGGACTTAAACTTCTCCACAAAGCAGTAAATTCTGGTCTCTGTCAGCAAATGAGCCACTCAGAGCACAGACCTAGCCCAAACTGACCATTGTTATAATCCCACTGCCCGCAAGCCTTCCCAGCACATTGTTACAAAGCAAAGCTGAAGGAGACACATTTTCTCCAAACATCTTCATCTTTCAGCACCAGGAGTATGGCAAAAGATYGTTTTGCAAAACAATTTTTGAGATAACCCATTTAAAAAGGATGGATTCAGACATAAGCAGAGGCCAAGGTGAAAGCAGAGCGTTTGGGTTTTTTTTGTTTGTGCTTAAAAAAAAAACCCCAAAGCGATTCTCAAATCCATGCTTTTAAACTGAGAGCAAGTGGGGGAAAAAAAATAAAGATAATGTTTGCAAAAGCAGCTCTTTATTGCAGGTATCCATTTTGAAATGACGCAGAGGGAAATGCCTAGAGAAAAGCTTGCACACCTGCAATCTRAAAACCAGGCCTCTGAAACATCACCAGCTGAGCACCTGAAAAATGAGGAGCCTATTAATGTCCTCTAAAAAATATTGAGCAAGGCCTTCCTTAAAGGGGAGGACATTATTTATACCATTCCCCTACAATGCACCTGCTCTATCTTAAGCTGTCTCCCAGACCATCAACTCACAGGTTTCTCTGTCACTTTTCATTCCCTTATTCCTGTAAMTTGGCTTTAAGACACACATTTTATTTACATTATCGGTGTTGTGGTTTAACCCCAGCTGGCAACTCACTCCTCCAGAGGGGGAGAGAGCCAGGAGGGTGAAAGTGAGAGAACCCACGAGTGGGGATAACCAGTTTAGCAGATAAAGCACTGCACGGGCGAGCAAAGCAAAGCAAAGCAAAGCAAGGAATTCATTCCCAATTTCCCGTCACAGTCTGGAGTCCAGCCATGCCCAGGACTCCCTCACAGTGACTGAAGGAGACAAAATCCCTCACTCTGCTCATCCTCAGCTCTTTAAGATGAGTGTGATGTCCTGTGGTGGGGGAAGTTCTGATCAGAGCATTGATCAGAGTTAAGGGTTTGGGGTTGGGTTTGAGGATTGAGTGTTTGGATGGCAYAGCTATCATTGAAAGGCATGAATCGGGGTAGGGTCCCTCTCTGAAAAAGACTCCTCATTCTTCAGGCAGACTTGGCATTCTGAGCAGGATCCTGGGGTCAAATGTGTCACAGTGGAATAATCCATAACACCCAGTCCAAACCAGGAATGTCATCACCTGGAGCTGAGGCATCACTTGCCATCACTGTGTGTCACCCAGAGTGACAGCCACACCTGGCTGGCACAGAYCCTGACACACAGGCACATTTCRGAKACTCAGCTGCAAAGCCAGGACCACAAACCAGATTTTTTTCCACCCAGGTTGATCCTGCATTCAGTCCACTCYCTGTGTGTTGGGTTATTTGACTCCATGTAATTATGCAGGTATTTATTTTGATTGGGCCCTTCACAACACCCCAGGCTGCCTAACAGCAGTTGCATTCATCAAAACTGCAAAGTGCCAGCTATTTACCTCAAAATATCCCCTTACACCTGTGCTAATGCCCTCTCTGTAGCTCCTTGCTTTCACAAGCCAAGTCAAAATGCCAAAACAAAACACGCCTCTTATCACATTACAAGAGCCATTAGTGTCAAACCTTGAAATCTGCAGAAACATCCATCTTTCCTAGAAAAACCTCAGTCAAAAAGCCAGAAAAAATCCTCCATACACCAGGATCTTAACACCAGGAGTGACTGAAACAGACCGTTGGCTCCAAATTTTCTGTAGATAACAATTACATCACCAATGTATTCTCTGTATGGAGCAGAGAGGTTTTTCTGCTGTCCCAGATTTGTGYAAAAGTTGATTTTAATGATAGACAAAATCTTAAAAGTAAAGACAAATGGTTTCTCTCTGTCACTACAGAGAGGTTGCTGTWACCATTCCAGATTAGAGTTTCARTCCCARAGCTYKMTGCACAAGGAAATCCCCCTTGAGGAGGAAATAATCTCTTCAGTAGTTTCCCTGCATGGGAAGGGGCAGAGCTGGATGCACAAAGGCAGGCAAGGTAAATAGAGATGCCCATGTTCCCATCAGAAAGATCATAACTCTCAAGCACAGGAAAAATGCCATCTGTGCTTCATCTCCAAAGAGACGATTATTGCTTCCTGTAAAATTCGAGCACACATTCAGACTCCTGCTTCCTGCAGTACCCATAAAGTCAGGAGGGACTGGAGCACTCCAGAGCCAGCAGGCTTTCAGAAAGGGCTGGGGGGATGTTTCGTGTTCCCAATAAAGTGTAGAGAGTTGGGTTTTGCTGCTTTGGAATAGATAATTTAGCAGCATTGGGTTGAAARGTGCAGATGGTCAGGTATTGATCACCAGAGATGCTGTGGCTGCTCCTGGATCCTTGGAAGTGTCCAAGGCCGGGTTGGATGGGGCTTGGAGCACCCTGGGATAGTGGAAGGTGTCCCTGGTGAAACAAGAGGATCTGTAAGGTCCCTTCCAACCCAAATCATTCTGTGGTTCTGTGATTTATCAACACCCAAACCCTGGGAGTGTCTCCACTCAGGGTGTGCAGATGGACAGGGCAAACTGGGACCATGGACTGGGGAGCAGTGGGCAAGGAACGTGGGAGAAGCAGGAAAGGAGAATGAAAATTTGGTAAACAACGTGTGCAAAGAGAAAGGGGGGTAATTTTTTTACACCAAGTCCAACATCACCTTCATCTTTTTCATCAAGTCCAACATCACCTCATGGCTCCAATCACAGGAGGCAAAAGCAGGAATTTAAAAGGAATCACTGCCACATCTTCAGCCTTTCCTGACCATCCCAGTCCCCATTCATGGAGCAGATGAGCCCTGAGCACAATCCACCCTTTCCTAGTGAAGGAAACTTCTCTCACCCCGTTCTTATTGATGCCATCCCTCCCCAGGGCTCCCTGCTCCTAGGGCACACTGGGGAGGCGAAAGCCCAGCTCTGCTGACTCTCCCTGTGCTTGGATGTGTGGCTTTCCCAGCTGATGAGAAAAGCTGAGCAAATACGTTATGATGAATAATTTATGCAACTAACTTAGATGTTTATCTTCCGCTCATAGAATATCCATGAACCAGTTGCAATTCCCTCTAAGTTATGCATTATTTGAATTTACTTGGTGTCAGTTTTCAAGCTTTTTTATAGGTATTGCAGAGAATTCGGCTGTTTTGTTCCTTTGTGTGATGTTGATGGGTTGGGATTGGAATTAAAGAAGGGTTAAATTGGGAAGGGGACACCAACAGGGTCATCTGCTCCAACCTCAGTGGTCAAGCAATGATATGGCCTTGTTAAACTTCCTGTTTAATGTCCAAAAAATACATTTTAAACTTGGCTCACTCAATTCCAGCATTTTACATGGAAAGCAAACCTCTAAATCCAACAATCTGCTGTGCAACCTACAGAGCCCTGTGCTGCARGATGCACCTGAGGCCAAGATTATGCTACAATTTAGGAAAATAGACTTAACATTATGGCTAGTGAAATAATTTAGAATTATTGAGGTCATAAAAAATATTTATTCRCAGGGAACAGCATAGATCCAACCTTAGGAAATATTCCAGTCTGAAACTCCTGAAGTCTGTGAAGAAACACCTCCCAGAAGAGGTTTTCCATTAGCTTTCAACTCTAGGTTGAATTGCATTTTCTGCAGAAGCAGCAAATTGGCCAAAACCGAATTCAGGGTGCTGGGTTGAGCACCCTTGTGTGTTTGTCACCACTGAATCCTTCTGTCAGTGAATCTTGGGAGGATTTACCAAGGTCTTGTGTTTGTGGATGCAAAAGGGCACTGAAACCTTTCCACACAAACCATTCTGGGCTTTTTTCACCCACCTCAGCACCACCAGTGGCACCTCAGTCCCTGTGCCACCCCCTGGGATGCAGAGTGAGGCCTCTACACATCTTGAGGCATTTAAAAAAGAGAAATATTGCCCTGTTCCTCACTCATTTTCCAGGGGAAGGAGCTGCAAAGACTCGGCCAGGATTAGGGTGGCACCCGAGGTACAGCTGGGGTTGGGACAGATGGGATGAGCACAGTTTTCTGACCCTCAGGAGAAATCCCAAGCAAGGACCTGAATTTGAGGCAGCAGGRAAGCTTTGGATGGCTTTGGAAAGGTGAGAAACATTTACAAGGAGGACCAAGAGTCAGTACCTCTTAGGCAGAGATGGGATGAGGAGAAACTGTGACCTAAGGACTGAGTAGTGCAGGAGAGGCACTTGGTTCTTGATGTCTGAGAGCCCAAAGGAATGTGGGGTGTGCCAGAAAATGCATTCCTGCCTTTGGAGAAAGCACTGAGGAGCTTCTCTTAAGGGCTGGAAGGGGTAGGAGGCTCTGAGGGGGAAGAGGGCTGAGGGGTGAAGCACAGCCTCAGGAAGGCACACGCACGTAGGGAAGGCTCTCTGCCCTGTAAAAGGGGACACATTTKATTTGAATATGGCTGTAGCTGAGGAAATGCTGCCCCTTCAAGCCTGCATTAATGAGCTTCCATCAAGGCCAGCGTGTCAGGGGCACAAGGAGCCACCAGGAACMTCTCAGTGCTCATTAGCACTATGACCCCTCCAGGGAAAGAGAAAAACAGAAAAACAGGGAAAAAAAACTACTGAAGAGGGAGGGAAAGTCGAGAGGCTGGAATCATGCAGATCCCACCCTGCTCCATCAGCAAGGA